TCAGCACTTGATTTCATCACTAATTTTTGATCAACAACCAAGTCCTTGTTGCAACCGGTTTATCGTCACAATGATTGAAAACATATGTTAGTATTTCAAATTTTTACATTATTAATCGAATTATTAATTCTTTACAATTTTCCACTTGATATGTTACATTATGTATCTATAATAATCTATAATAATGTTATTGTTCTGCCATAACGAGCTTAATTGTAATTTAAAGTGACTAAATCATGTCGATATGGAATTATAACACATATTTGTGTGCGTACGTACGTATACCGTCATAAAATTTCATCAAGTTACATGATTATGCATTAATCTTATGAAAGAATTGTTAGAACAAATTCTGTGCGTATCATTCGCTATGTTCTCCGATTGGTTACTCATTGACGTACATTATTCATTTAAATTTTAAAGGCAAAAATATACGTATGTATATCTTTAAAGTAGAATCTGACGGGACCTTTAATTGACAGTGACAAACTTTCATGGAATGTCTTAAGGATAAATTATAATCAAAATAATTTTTTTTAAAAAATGTCAGTTTCCATTTTAAAGTCACATGTATTATATATTAGTTTAATCAAATCAAAATAATTCATAAAAATCCATTTTTAAACAATTTAATCATTTATTCCATTTTTGACATCTGATAATCATACAATCTAAGTAAGTTTCTTTTAAGCATTGCTATCGTAACTTTACCAACCGTTGGAACATAAATGCTGGCTTTTTCTTTAACATTATCCTCAAAATTTTTGTATGCTGAAAAATTTATTGCAATTACTCCGTCTCGTAATAAGGATGTTGGAATTTTGTATGTTTGTGATGGAACACCTGTTATTACAACATCGGATATTGGAATCACATCTTCAAGTTTGAAATTCGTCTCGATAACCTTTATTAGATATATAAATGTAAATATAAAATAAATGTATGGGTATACCGTTGGACACTGCATACAGTACCCGGGAGTCTTATTCAAGAACTTTAATTGAATAGTACTCGCGGGATATATCATATGAAAAAAGTAATAAATTAATATAGTTATACCCCCCGGGTATTATTCATAAATTAAGCCAGGTCTCGATTAAGGAGGTATTATTTTTGGAATATCGTATGCAATGACGAACAGTATATATTTGGTTGTTTACTAATGTAAAAAAGGAAAACAAGCCAGTTTATTAATAGGAAATTATTTACCTCATGCTTTTTAAGTCTTAATCCAGTACCACGATTAAATTCTTGAACACCATTAATATCAATAGAATAAACTTTTCCACCGTCATTGGCCAATAAAGCAGCAAGAGGACGTCCAACGATTTCACTTCTATTTACTAC